CTGAATGCTTGGACCAATTATATATGGAATATCCGAAATAGTCAAACGCCATTCAAAGTACTTTACACAATATGCAGAAACTCTTCATTTTTTTTCAATTGTAAATCCAGGTAACAGGTAGAGATTATAGTTAAGATTACTACTTTACTAGTTTAAGCTTTTTCTATATGATTTATGTTCTTGCAGTTGGATTTTCTTACAGAGAACAAGTGTGTCTGTAATACCTTCCACCTGTTAGTGGCAAATGAAAAACTATTATTTAAAAATAAACAAACTTTTTATATGTTTTCCAATACAAATATGCAGTTTTAAAACTGCTTAGATCCCAATAGAGAGGAGTGTTAACGCAGTGATAAAATTGGCCTTACAGTTTCTCCAGACCAGGATCTGGCACAACATCTTTCTCATATATTCTTAGTGTTACATCCGCCATCAACACTTCTTCTCCTTCCTCTTCCATTCTCAGCCACTACAGCCACACTTTACCTCCAATTAACACTCATTTCTGCTTGTCTTTGTGAGTGTGCCCGGCAATCACCTAGGTCATTTGGTAGACCTTGATAAATATCACACCAGTGGCTGCTCTTTAACAGCCTTTTCTTAGCTCAAAGCAGCCTAAGAGTCATGCTGCTAGTTCACAAACACAAAAATTTCTGAGAAATACTGCAGTTAGACATACTGTATTAGAAAATACTGACACACTAACCAAAGGCAGTGAGATTCCATTGCTGGCCCCAGTCAGGGTTACTGCTATCACTCCAGGACAGGATTCACCGAAGTAGGCGGGCTTCCCGGCCTGAGTGATCGCTCCGATAGCGATGGTGTAGATGGAGTTGACATACCCATCTGCACCACAGTGGTCTTGCTGCATTCCACCATTGCCTGATGCCCACACAAAAATGTTGCCCTTCCCCTGTCGACCCTAAAGAAAGGAAAATGATGAGTCCATTAAATTGGCAAACATTTTAACTCCCTTTCATCCGTTACTTGCATTTGTACATCTCCTTTTTAATTTGACTTAAAGTCCATGATTATCTTAAGAGATACCAAGAACCCAATATATTGAGTGTTTTTAAATGACATATATGGACAACATCTCTACACCAAACAAGGGGAATATTGTATGTCTTTTTAGCAAGTGTGCTTTTTATTATGAGGGATATATAAGACAGCAAAGAGAACACTTTGCTCCACAAGTTGTTGTTGTTTTAGCTGTAGGACAGAATAAGAAAGCCAAAGAATTTTAATCGGTTTGATAAGGGCTGGAGATATGGTGTGAGCTGTGGCAGCTCCAATTACCAAAAGGTGCTGCCCCTGGGAGGAGCAGGATGTTTTTCTGGATCTTCCAAAGGGTAACCGCCAGATTCTTGAAAGCCAATTGTGTGAGTAGACCATCCAGTACTCCTTGTTTTAGCAGGGTTTTAGCTCTAGACTGGGTGAGCCCAGTCTGCAGTGGCGGTATCTACCCAAAGCAGTCAAAGGTGGACATAAAAGCTACTGTATCTGAAATTGCTGAAGATGCAAAATGCTGTTTCCGGTAGAAAGACATCAAAAGACCCAGTACTTCAGAGCTGTTGTGTAACAAGCTGCACAGCCACAGATCACTGAGGGTAGTCATTACGCTCATATGTTTAAAGCTAAAAAACAGTTTGAATAGCATAATTAAAAAAAAAACTAAAACAAAAATAAGTCAGGAGTTTGGTAATTATGCGTTAAAGCGCTTAAAAAAATACTATTTGAAGTTGCAGGTATTCTGACAAGGGTATGGTGAAACGTCAGTAAACGGAAGATCTATAACCATTTCTCATTTTCTTATGGTGGAGTTGATGTTACAGCAAAAATATACTTAGAATTAGAGGGATTTTTTTTTTTCATTTCGTATACATGAGTGTATACTAAAAGAAATTTCATTTAAAACAGCTCTAGACAATTTCATTTTTTAAAGTGCAGCCTTGAAAACAGTAATAAATACATAAAAAAATAGTAATATAAACACGTGACTGTGTATTTACAGTTCTAAAATAATTATATATATATATATAATACACACTTTATAGTAAAGACACGTGAGGTGTTAAACCATCCATAACAAAGCTTTAGTTTTATTGATTGTGATATTTTTTCATACCCTTTGAATTGCTGGTTTATAGTTACAGTCAACGTTTATAGAACATTGGTCATGCATTTCTTGTCTCCAGTTGTTTTGTTCTTTTGAACTTTTACTTATCTTTATGTCTTCCTTTCTGCATTTGCGTTTAGCTCTAACCACACATTCATTTTCTCACAAAAAGCATTTTAATGTAATCCAGCTAACACTTTAGCAGCTAAAACTAGTCCTGATTGTTGACAAGACTAAACCATCGCTGTTTTTAAACACTAAGAATGTTCCTGTAGCTCCGCCCACGGTGTCTACTCTAAAGGAAAAACTTCATCCAGCTGGTTCATGTTATAGCTACCTTGGAGGCAAACTTGATGACTCTCTTACCTTTCAGCCTTGTATTGAAAATCTTTTAATAAAAATAAAAATTAAAGTTACACTGGGCTTCTTTCAAAATAAAGCTTGTTTTTCATTTGAGAAAAAAAAGCGGCTTATATGTACAACATTTATGTATGTTTTAAATTGTGAAGACTTGTTTTACATGAATTCTTCAGCTTAATGTCTATATAAGATTGACTTATCATGCTTCTCAGTGGCTCATAACAAACTGTAGAGCCTTGACTCATCATTGTGAACTTTATTCTAGAGTGGGATGATCTTCCTTGTTCACCAGGCATTTGGTACATTGGTACATTTTTATTTATAAGGCGATGCTTGGCCTTTTGCCCTCATACATCTGTTATTTGATCACAATGAAAAGTGTTGCTTCCTGTTCTTTGCGTTCTAATTATATCTTGTTTCTCTCTGTTTCATATGCCTGGTAAAGGAGTATGATTATATTTCATTAAGCAAAATTAAGACCACTTGAGACCATGTTTCTAAATTGTATCTGTATTTCATAATCTAAATTTTTACCAAGGTTTTAAATATTGTAGCTTCTGCTATCTTTTGGTCAGGACAAACTCGTGAAACAGCTGTTTAATCTGAATGGGTCTTTCTTGGTTTCTCTTTCTGCTCTGGACTTTCGTCGGTCGGTTTACCCCAAAATTTATTTTTACCTAAAATTGTAAAATTTGATCATACCAATCAAGTCAATTTTACTATTAAAACACACTAGGTTTTTAAAGTTTAAAGTAGTGCATCTGGTTAACAGCAGAGAAGCGACATTTTGTTGTAAACAATATCAATATCTCTCTGATAGCTTTTCAGAGTCTTTTATCTTTGGATCATGTCATTATTAATTCATTGTTTTTTTAGTCAACCTTAAAAACCTTGGGCACCCACATAGAAAAACTCAAAATAATTTGAAGTAGTGACACATTTTAAGCCAGTATTTAGTTGTTAAATACTCACTGATCCTACAGTTACATGGTTCTAACTTGTTTTCTGTCTTTTCTATATTCTTATAGATACAGATCACCTAATTGATCATGCCTTCATTGGTTTGCATTTTGTGCATGCAAGTAATTCAGAAAACGTTATTATGCCTAACTTGTTTTTTTCTCTAGGAGGTAACGAAGTCAGACTTTTAGAATAAGGTTTAGTTCCCTCATTTTCTTTTCTCTCTGGTTTTGCTATCTCCTAAAAAAAAACAAAAAACACTGTGGCTACAGTAGATGGTTCTAATTTCCCCCATATTTTATACTTCCTCTCAGGAATCAACAGATAAAGTAAGTTTTCCAAATCTGACTGCAAAATTTTACGCCATTTTTGTTCTGAAGGCCTTAAATGCAACAGCCAGAATGGTGAACTTTTGGGAAGAAAGCTTTGCCTTGTGAGTTCCTAGCCGGAGGGCTTGCGCTGTCAGGCGTTGCGGCCCGTCCATCTCGGCCCCGTTGTCTCGTGGGCCCCAACTGCAGACGTAGATGTCAATGAAGTGCATGTTATAGGTCAGAGCTGAGGCCTCCATGGCATCTGTGACAGTGCCATCCAGCAAACGGATGCCTGTACAAAACAAAGCAGGTTGCACAGATCAGGATTTTCAGGCCAGCTAGTGGAAATGGCAAAATAAAAGTTTTTTTTTTTTAGTTTTAGGACAAGTTAACATGTATGAAATCAAACCTCAACAATAAATTAGCTTTAAAGGGTCGTTAAGAGGTAAAAAAATTAATTCGACCAAATTCTTACATTTCTAACTAAATATTTATGTAACTATAAGTGTCTTTTATTGATTTATTTTATAATCAGGATAAACAGGAAGATATTCCCTGAGAAACAGAGACACAGCATCCAATTAAAGGCTGAACATGGAGACGAGTGCTCCAGCACATCAAGAAGGCAAAGAAAAAGGATGTTTTGGGATTTATAAAGCTGGTTATTTGCCTTTTTCATATTTCCCTTTTACTGAAGGTAACCTCACAGCATCTATTTCATTTTTTTCAGTGTACTTCCATGGGAGCTGAAAGGAAATCCAAGCAAAGCTTTGTTTTGTTTTACTCTTTTTCTGGCTGCGTGTTAATGTGTTGACACAGTCCGACCAGGTTAGCACGTGGTTAATCCAGAAATATTAGTTCTAGAGAGGAACAAAGACGAGAGCAAGCTATAGGAGCTCATTTTTCATGATTTATTTACACACAGTGGAGGACTAAATGTGCGTAAACTTTTTTTTATCAAACCCATTTTTTTGAAAAGAAATAATTTCAGATATTCCGATTTTAATGTTGCCCGCTTTGCTGCCAAAAGTACTGAATAATTTTTGTTTACAGTATATATACAAATCTAACTGGCTGGCAGCCTATTCTGAATCCATGCGGCTAAATTTGATGTATAATGACCTCAGCAGAAGGTGGTATACTCTAATAAAAAACAAATCTAAACATCTGGGTTACAATTTCAAATGGTATGTGTGCCAGAAACATAACTTTGGATTATCACAGGCACATAAAAACCGCAGTGGAAGAAATGAAAAGACCAAACATTTTTATAAGGTAATTCTAAATAATTTCACAGAGGAAAAAAATGAGGAAAAAACTTTGCTGAATGTCAGACCGTATGGCCCTGCTTTCAAAAGCACCAAGCAGTTCAACATGCATTTTTCATGCAGGTCGTTGCCCCTTCATCTCCTCTGTACCAGACTCTGTTTATGACCCAACAAGGTAAAATTAGGACTAACTGTAGAAACACATTCCTGGTCTCGCCTCATGAAGTGTTTTTCTTTTTTCTGGGTACTGGAACGTACTTTTAGGAACAAATGATTGGAGCTCATGGATAAAAAGATCTAAGTTCAGAAATCAAAAATCAGAGGTTAGCCGAGGGACGTGTCTCATTTTCTGTTTTCATTTTGACAGAGTATCTAGACTAAATTAGATTTGAGATGTCGGATATAAGGATATATTTCCTAACATCAACACACATTTTCTTAACAACAAGCAACACGGAATTGAATAGGTTTTGTATATCATATATCACATGTATATCAAAAAGAAAATTTGTTTCGTGTATTTATTTTATTTATCCCTTAAATATGTTAGCAAAAATAATGCTATTATCACTATAAAAAAAAAAAAAACAGATAAATGAGACTTTATCTGTTCTGGGAAATCTAAAATCTATGGAGATGATTTTACAACTTCAAATTGTTAAGAATCCAGTCTGTGTGGTTTGTGTTTGTTTTCATTCCTCCACCAGGCGGCGCCTGGTTCTGGTTGGCCTCCTCACACACCTGCGGATGGTTACCTCATTATCTGAGCACTCTTAAGCTGCTGACTGCCACTACCTCGACGGCAGAGTGTTTGCCAGTTTTTTGGATACTCTAGCCAAGCTGAGTTTTGCTGAGTCAAACTGAGTTTTTGTCTACCTGAGTTTCAATCTTGTTTTTTTTGTCTTTGCCTCTCGGCAGGAAGTCATCCTGCAAACTGGATGTTTCGGACCTTCTCTCCCCTGGAAGGATCTTCTGAGAACCAAACAGAGCTGAGGATTTAAGTTTGTGGTTTGGATCAACCATTTCTCCCAAGGATCGTTTGGGGCTTCTCTCTGAGCAGGGGATTCATCTCCCAAATAACCTGTTCAAGCACCGCAGGAAATCTAAGTGGCAGTCAGCTTCTCCATTCACCAAGGAACAACGGCAATTGGGTAAACCCTGTCCATCCTCCATCGAACAAGACATTCACTGGAACATCCCACACCGACTGGATTCTATAAGAGACACCTTTTTCTGGAAACGTGAGTCTGCAACCTATTCCTCCTCTTCAAGTCAAAGATTCTAATTTCCCACTGAGCCTGAACTAACCGCAGTGTCTTCCCCTCACTTTCCAGTTCCGGTTGGACAGTGTTCAGAGCAGCACTGGACTCATCTCATCATTGTAAATAAACCTGTTAAACTTTTCCCTGGTCTCTCTGTTTGGTCTTCTGCATGTGGGTCAGAGCACTAGATAAAATCATGACACAAAAACAGCAACAGAGTGGCTTCAATCAGAGGCTTCTCCAGATCCGCTGGTGGACAGACCTCTACAGAAGATTGTTCCTTTTCAACAACAATTCAGTAATTAAAACCCTTGAACGCTTACAGCAGGATTTAATTTAGATGTGCAATTAATAAAGAACTGAATATATTAATTTAAGCCAAAAAATGTTCATAGATTAATTTATAATAACAAATTAATAATAGATTAATAATGAAACAACTGTTTTCATTGAAAGAAATATTTTTTTTCAATAGAAAATAAGATAATTATATATTAGATGATAAAACAATGTTAAAAAAAGTATAGCTATTTATCAAATATATGTATATTTTTTTTTTAAATTATTTTTTAGGTTTTTTTTTCTTAAAAAAACATGCCATGACAATTTTTCTTTTTACTTTTTAGCAATCAATAAAAAAGTTGTTAGCATAAAAGGAATAGAATCCGTTCTAAATCTGTTTACCTTCTCTGAGTTATCTCCCTTTTTTTAAATTTTTTTTTAAATGATGGTAATACGATTCATAAATGATCCAGATTTAATTCTTATAAGGTGAAAATATCAAAGCTTTTACTGTTTGTAATATCTATGACTGTGTCTTGTAGATAATTTGCTCGGAATTAGTAAAAATATTCATTCCATTAGCACATCATCTCATTTAACTACTCAAATTAAGGGTAAATACAGTTAATTTAAGAAATTTTTACTTATTGCTAGATAATTTTTCCAGTGTACTCTTAACCAAAAGTATGTGTTGAATTCAAAAGCACTTTCATTATATACCAGCAATAATAACAGATCATCGCTGGAACATAATGACCGTAATAAAGATTTTTCTGCCATGTCATTTTCTTGGCAGGAAGAGTGCGCCCACAGTGAACTGCCTACCCTCGTCTCCTAAAGCTGGACTGGTTTCCTTACCTCCTATCCTGGCATTGAAGGCGATGCCCACACCACAGTAGGAGTTGTTGGCCTCCATGGCGATTTCTCCTGCACAACGGGTACCGTGACTGAAACAGAGCGGGACTGAGACGTTAGCCACATACTGAGACTAAATAGGCAGAGATGAGAATTTTCTGCTTCATTGGATGTTCTGATCTGAGCCTGTATAATAACTGTGCCAGGACAAATAATTACATGTGGTACATTCTTACTGGTTCAGATCAGAGGAGTTGCAAGGATATTTAAGGTATTATCAAGGATTCATCTTAATCAGAGAAAAGCTTTCTGCTTGGCTAAGTTTTAAAATAATGTATCATGTGGTTATCGAATGCAAAAACATTTTACCCTCTCGAACATCTTCTGCATTTTGCCAAATTATAACCATAATGACGAATGTATTGTGGGGAAATTTCATGAATCAAACCAAAGCAAAATATGGGCTTATTTTAAAGTGACAGAGAAATGACTAATGTTTCTTCGTTCTTAAAATCTGAAAAGTGTACTTTTGTTTTGGTATGTGTTACCCTTTATGGTGCTGTCACACCCTGGCAATTTATACAGCATATGCCTGATGTATGAAAAATTTGGCAAAAACCCTGGCATATGCTGAATAATTTATGGGTAAGTTTTATAAAGCTATGAGCATGCTGAAGTATGCTGAAGCACACTGGACGTCGTACGTCAAGCATATGCCAGCTTATGCTCATAAGTGGGTCATAAGTTACAGGTAAGTTATTTGATGGTTGACACATGTTAAGTGTAAGTAACTCATAAGTCATGGTGTCCATTAGGGGTGAGTACTGGCATGGGTGTTGCGATACGATGCTTGTCATGATACTCGGGTCACAATACGATATTATCACTTTCTTGCATTATAACCATATATTGCGATTTTTTTCCTGCTATCAAAATTAAATGCATAGATAAAAAAACAATCTCTGTTTATGTTCATCAGATGAAATCGATGGTTCAGTTATTTTGGTATCCATGTTGTTTGGGGTTTAAGCGAGTCCATGTCTTCCACTGTGAACGCCTCAACTATAAAAAATATGCAGCACCGCATAGCAAAAGGGCGCCACAGCGCAATCTGCCAGAGTGGTGGTACAAAGGTAGCCCATTTTCCCTCAGTTTTAGGTAAAAAAATTTTCCTTTAAAAAAATCAATACTAGGAACTAAAAGATCGATATCATATCAGGCAGCCAAAAATCGCGATATATTGCCAAAATGATTTTATTCCACACTTAGTGTCCATCTCTTCGAAAACCTATGAGTAACTTGAGCATAACTTATGCGTTATCAAGGACTTATCTCCAATGCATATTGGCATATTAAAGTACATTTGAAGTGTTTCAGACAACCGCTGAACATGCTTTAAACTTACAGCTTCTGTATAATGGCAGCGTTTTGCTATAAAATGGGGTTCACAGGAGGAAACAGTCTGTTAACTTCATGGTTAAGTCATGATTAAGTCCAATCTTTGGACTTACGAGTTAGAAAACTACCATTTCACAAAAACCTGAACACACCTAAAAACTTTTCTTAAACAGCAGCAACAAAGAAGCTGGACATTAAAAGACAGATGGGGTTTAATACAGATCAACATTGAAAGCAGAGAACGTTTAGAGGCTGAAATAGACTTGAGGCTGTGGTGGGAATGTAGAGTATATCTTGTTGTCAGACCTTAATCTAATTAAGAATATGGAAAAAAAGACATTCTCCACAATATTTTAATTCAATAAGTGGTCAATAATGCCTCAGTATTGGGAAAAGAAATATGGAAAAGGCCCGAAGTTGGCAAAAATGACCATTATGCACAGAAAATACATTAAGGTACAGAATTAATTTGTAACATGAGAGCATCATAAGTTATATTTAAAAGCCTTCTGTCTCCAAAGTAGACTAGTTTTCCTGTTTGGTGTCATTTTTTAAAATCTAAATGTAAAGACCCCTTTTATTTTCTTCATTAATAAGACTGCCTAAGTGACTAAGAAAACAAGAACGACGATCAGTACCTGTTCTCCTCATCTCTGACAGGCATCGGATCATGAGACAGACCATGAGAGGCACGCAGGTCATAGCTGGCGAGGGCCTCCTGTGGAAGCCAGGCAGAAAACAAATAAGCGCAGTGCAGGACAGAGCATCTCTCAACATGAAACATCAGAACGATATGACAGGCAATGAAGGAAAACTCCTGATACTTGCTCACACTTGTATTATTCTGTCAACATAATTCCTTTTGACTGACGACAAACACTGTCTCCACCAGTGTGGTTTATGTGTTTGCCTAAGAAGCACTTATGTGTGTGTTTCGCTGCAACAAGACTACATGGCTAATCCATGCCAGACAATCTGCTCTCTCAAAGTACAAGATGGCCGGTGTGCGTCCAACTGCCTATAAGGTTATAAATGCTACAGCAGGAGAAAAAAAACGTAGGACGACACATATGTTTTATTATTCGCCAGGATAACAGCCGGCACCATCATCTATGAGACTGGTTGTTGAAATGTTGGATTCAGAAATGCTGCAACCTTTAACTCATGGGACTTCAATGTTTTCCAGGGAAAGGACCCCCAAACTGATGGCGAGATGGAACGGCAACCCCTTAAATATATATTTTGTATGAAATTGTGTTCTATCAAACTGGTCCTAAAGTCACTCTATTACAGATGGAGTAATGTAACGAAGGCAATTTCTCCCTGGGATTATTAAAGTATTTCTGATTCTGATTCCTGGTTGATGGGAGAGGTGTTGTAAATGAAATGGTGCCCAGCTTGAAAGAGCTCCTGTGTGTCGCTGAATGTGTGCATTGATGACTGAAAGACATCTTCTGCCTCCATTTATCTGTTTACTACAGTCTGTTGAATTCATGTTCATGTGGATTTAAATACATTTCAATTAGTGCAAAAAATTGAGGGGGGAATATAAAAAAAGTAATCAACCAAAACTTTCGTGACTATCTTACAGTATCTCTGTGGACCCCTAGGGGTTGCGGACCCCCTGTTGAAGACTTGCTTTAACTCATCTATTAAATATAAAATGATACGAAAACCTTTCCAAAAGGTGATTGGATAAATCAGGGATAATACGATGTTGAAATTGTGGAGAAAAAAAGGACAATCACCCCTGGATGTGGTTGCGATGTGCATGGGAGCACTTATCGCATCCCGATTGCATCCTGCTATAGTAGTGTACCTCTAGGCTTTATATAAAAAAGTTAAACCAGTAAAGTGATTAGTAATTCTTTGGATCTTTTTAATGGGGAAGAGAGTTTATATTTTTAGCTTTTTGGTTACTTTCGTTTAATGCATTTAACACCTTTTAACTAGTCAAACCAAAATTACTATATTAAAGTGGCTTAAAAGTATAAAGGTAATCAGCTGCTGCTCTTTAGCCATTGGGAGTGTCTAACCTGCCATATCCAACCATTGTAATGACAGAGAGTAGCTTTATTGTGGCAGAATGAGGCTGCATATTTGGAGGCACCGCAGACGGGGTTGGACAGTTAATAGTTTAACTACATGAACAGATTTATTACATAAAAGTCCAGAAAATACTATCTAAAGGTTTCTCTTGTAGTTTTTACATGTAAACTTGGCCAGATCCACTTTGCTTTTCATCGACCCTCCATTCACTCTGTTCTAGACTGTGGTGGAGTCAATACCATAAGCATCAGCAAAAGGACAGCGATGTGCACAGATCGCACCTGGGGTGCTTCAGAAATATAATGGGATAAACCCAGGTGTAACCACTCTGACTAACTAGAGCTGCTGCGATCAGCTGAAAAGCCGCTTCCACATCCAGTGCAACCAAGGGTTAATAGTTATATATTGTGCCTGAGCTTAAGGCCAAATGTATCAGTCTATGGAAAAAATGGGGATTTGAATGATTTTTTAAAATTTTTAATGTGCCTTAATAAAAAAAAATCTTTAAACATGGAAGAAACATGAGGGCTAAAATTTACACAAGAAATATTGCCCAAAATGTTCAGTAGTAAACCTATAGAACATAGAACCCTGCACATTTTGAGCATATTTGGCTCAACCTGCTGTTGTGAAGCAGGATTCTCCACCATGAACAGAATCAAAATAAATATGGATCCAGGCTCAAAATGAGCACCTTGATATGTGCTTTAGAATGGCTTTGTCTCCATTCAAACCCAGGTTTAAAGCCTTGCAGGGTAGCATAAAGCCCACTGCTCTCATTAAGACAGAAAAAAGAAAGAAAAGGAAAAAAAAACCCATCAGTTTAGATGTTTTATTAAAAAAAGGTGAGTCAATAAATTGTCTTTATACCAAACTGAAAGATTGTTGTTCTCTACTTGAAAAACAATTTAGATTTTGAAATGGATAAACTTTCTATTTTTTTATTTTTTATTTAATAAATCAATGTTTAACATGGAAGCATAAACGACTGCCTGTTTAAAGTAATGGATTGTAATTAAAAATGTCTCTGGACCTTTAATGGTTGAGGATTTTCTTTACCTGCTATAGAATAAGTTTCTGCTGAAACAGAGTATTCAACTAGCCTTGACTCCTTCGACCAAATGTCTTGTAACCGTGGCTGAATAAATCAACAGTTTTAAACCATTTGATGCTCCCATTAGATGGATTAAATCTTGGACATAGTTTGGTGTTCTGACAGGGTAACGATCTTAACTCATCAAAACTGTTTACAAAGGAACACCAGGCTGACATTCACCTTAAATGAACACACTGATTTTAGTGCCAGAAAACCAACTTATTAGAATTCATTCCAGACAGGAAAAAAGGAAACACATCCAGACAAAATTATTCCAGGATCTTGTCAATGATGACCTAAATCAATTTGACTGTATGATCTGGTTGAACTGTAAAGTGCCTTAAGATGACATGTGTTGTGAATTTGTGCTATATAAATGAACTGAATTGAATTGAATTGAATGTAAACTTCTGATCAGCACAGTTTGCTCAATATACTCTCCATGATTTGCTTAAAAGAAAAACTAAAGAAGTGTTATTTTTGTTTACTCACAAAGTTTTTCTTCAAATCCAAGTTTGTATGATCCACACCTAAATAAGGAAAACAAGAATAATGTATATTACAAACATTTTCCAAGGCCACACTTTCTACTCATTGCCCCTTTAATTCTTTCCTTGTATTTTCTGTCCTTTTTGCCCAAAACAGACATAATCAAAACCACAGAGAACAGATACATCACTGATAGTGCTGTAAAACAATCTAAATGTGTCTTAATTGCACATTTCTGTTTGGTAGATAATCCATCTTTTGTTGGACTCTAAACATGAAAAAAACCTGTAATTTTTTTAAAATAATCAAGGCTGAAAGATATTTTCGATGATGAATGATAAGAAGAAGTGACTCCTTTCTTGATTGCATCAGATAACTGCCACATGTGATGATTTTCTTTCCATAACAATAGTGAATCAATGCTTTTGCTGTAAACTAGCTGACTGTATAAGACAGTACAAGGTTACAATCCAGTAAAAGTGTCTACAGGGCAAAAGGGGTGCCCGCCTAATGTTAACAAGAATTAAATCAAAGATAAAGAAGAGAGGATGACATTTTAATTTTTTATCAACTAGTTCAGTCTACTTGTGCAGGAAGTGAGACGCATTTAAATATAGAGATAATGTTTATGAGATCCATGCCATTTTTTCCATGTTTTCTTCATTAAGTGATGCCTAAGTGCACTGGACCTGTTACTGCATCCTTTGATGCCATGAGGGAAGCAGTTTCAAGCCATTTCAGCTTCCTATGTGGTAGACAGGTTATTCAAATTTTGAGGGCCCCACTAATTGGTGCAATTAATTTGCCAAAGTGTGCTGCATTTTTTTCTTTTTCAAAGTAGAGTTTTGTCAAGATTTATGTCATATTCTGCACGACTGTTAGATGAGTGAATGAACAAAGGGCTTCGAATGATCCAAATTCAACCTTATTCATGTCATTCTTTTCGGTTTATTATTCGTTCTCCCAGCACCTTTCTCACATCTTTTCATCCACCTTTCTTTCCACATCAGTTGCCTTTCTCTAGCTTGCCCCCCCTACACCCGCCTCAACCTCCCGTCACTCCAACCACCTCCATCTCTGCTGCAGCAGGGCTCCTGTGGTCTCAGCAAGAGACAAACGAATGAGGACCCCAGGAGGGCCGCGCCGGCTCTGCTGCACATCACTCACTTTCTGTCTCTCAATCACAGACAAACACACACACACACACAGGGCCGACCTGCCTTTGTCCCATACAGGCACTTCCTCTGGTTGCCATAGTAACCGGAGGAAGGTTTCGCTGTCACGGCCTGATTGCGTGGAGCTCAGGCAGGATGGAGCCCAGGGTGGGCTCAGCCTCGCTGGAGCCTGCCCTGGTGTGCTATGCTAAGATACGCCAAGCCAGACTAGCATGTTACTTTGCAGACTTGAACTCGACAATTTTCTTGTCCTCTTCAACATGTGTACATTTGTAACTGGTGTTAGGTTGGTTGGAGTAATTTACTTTGCATGCTAAAATAAATGTAATGTAAACAATAGTAGCAAGGTTACCAAACATAACACCCTTGCACTCCGCCACAATTTCAAACCATCAAAACCACTTCCATGTTTGTATTTCAGTAAATACTTTATGGTAATATTTGACAAATTTGTTTTCCATAAATTAATAGGTTTAATCCAATGCATTTTATTGTTGCTATTGCTCTATCTTTAAGGTATGTTCACACAGAACACGGATTTTGGAATCCCATGTTATCCCTGCATAGAACACTGGCGGCCGGTGCATCTGGTACCTAGACCTTCATATATAATATATATATATATATATATATATATATATATATATATATATATATATATATATATATATATATATATTATCAAATGTTACTGTTCACTAAATGTGTAATAATTGGCACTCAGGGGATGCACATGCTATCTTGCTAATGCAAAGGGCTTATTGCCTATTTGCAATTGGTTAATATTTGTTTAACATCACTACTTTCTCATTGTAGTAAAAGAAACCACCAATAATATTAAAATATGAAACCACAGGTAAAACCGGTAAGGAAGACTAGTGTGAGGGTGAATAAACAGATCAATTAGGCAGGAAACCCTGTTAAGACAACCATAAACCTCTACACTATAACCACAGCTCCATCATTCAGATTACGTTCAGATTCAATGTGCATCTGAAACTTGGCAAAAACGTTGCCAAGTTTGCACTCGGTGTGAACACACCAGTAGAGTCGTTATCCCACTGGAAGTTGTTTGTGGTTTTTAAAAAGTTTTCTTCTTGGATGACCAAGCATTTGACTACATGCATACATCAAGCTTGATTCTGTCACGATCTTGTTTCACTGATTGAAACACACAGGGTGTAAACAAAGCAAAATTTCATTCAGTATAGCTCTCAAAACATTTCCATTTCTTAAACTGCTGCAGTGATAAAAAGTAAACATGGTAATCTAATGTAAAGATGAAGGGTCATTGATGATGTTACGGGCTCAGGACACGCAGCGCTGGAATGAAATGTCTTTAATGGAGGGAAAAGAAGCCCTGATGATCTTCTCTGCTGTTCTTACTACTCTCCTCACCTTCTTCCAGTCTGAGGCACTGCAGCCTCCACACCACACAGTGAGACAGCTGGTCAGAACGCTCTATGGTGCTTCTGCAGAAGGTGGTGAGGAGGATGGGTGGGGGCAGGTGGGCTCTCCTCATCCTCTGCAGGAAGTACATGCGCTTTTGTGCCCTTTTATTAGTCGCTGCTGTCGGGTAGCGACAGCCTATAGCGACAGCAGGCGGCTCTAACAGCAAGTCCCATAATGGCTCGCAAGGACAGTTCTCCGCACAAAGTATTCCGGGATATATCTGACTCTTCAGAGGCCTTTCTTTTCTTCTCAAACACTTTGAAGACACATTTTCTCTTACGACCCTCTGCCTTTTTCAAAGAACTGCGATGAGAAGAATGAGCTTCAGTGATTGTCTGAAACTGTAACTCACCACATATACAGTATATGCCTGAAGGTGCGCAGGCACATAAATATTTAGCTAACAGGACGAGCATGTAGGATGGCCTGATGTAAACATATTATCAGAATGATTGTCAATTAGGGGGACCAATTATTTAGATGATCCACCCGGAAATAAAAGATTATTCCTCTGTACATTTAAAGGAAAAAGCAGTTGTTGCTTGTATGGATGGATCACTTTGAATTGAATTTCGGTGCACTTGCATACAACCTAATTCCTAATACTAAAATGCAACTTGGTATCATATTTCTTGAGATAAAGGTTTGTTTTGATAGGTTCCATATAAAACAATGAGATTGAAACTCAGGTGTTCATTGCGCTGTTGATGGTTGTTAGTTATCAGGACTTCCTAAGTGTAGAGGGGTAGGTTCTAGGAAGAAATCCTCTTAAGATGCAAAAAATCTCCTCATTGCTTCTGTGGTTTGTTTCCTGTTTCCAACTGCTGGATTCCTTCCCAAACATCGCTAACTCACCTACCTCTCCAATCTAAACTGTTCCTCAACTCAACTATGTCCTACTCTTGACCAGTATTGATTTTGTCATTTTATTGGTTTTGGATGTCTAGCAGCAGATAAGAGAGAGAGAAAACACCTTCAGGACAGACAAAGAGGGTTTCTACGGCCAAGTAAGAAAAGGGAGGAGGATCGAAGACAAGACAATGAAACTCAAGTGCTGCCAACCTCTGACCTTCTTCTTTCCCCACATTGAAGAGATGCCACCCCAGGTGCCTGCACTTAACCCTATAGCCCAAAGAAGATTCTCCCACTCTGTGGAAAAGCATCAAGTGAGGAGCAAGCTGTGGGCTGTCGAGATTGTCATGGTTTTGGTTCTGTTCAAGTTTTGTCTCTGAGTTTTCATTGGTCTTATTTCCATTATTGTGTTCTAGTTATTTTTTATTGTATTTTAGTTCTTAGATATTTCTTGTTTGCTCTGATAAATATATGAAATGACAAGTGAAATTTATATTTAACTGGCTCTGTGACAACCATGGACACACCATATCCCCCACACTACAATCACCTTAAAAAACAATGGATTTAAAGTTTGACAGGACCCAAATACAGATACTAAAGCTGAGGTAGTTTCTTGCTACATTTAATTAACCAAAAAGGGTAATAGAAGCAAAGATCCAAAATCATAATTTCACAAATTCCCAAAATACTGAAAACCAGGAATACTGACAATAAGAAGGGGGCAAAGAAATGACGACAAACCAGCAACAGTGACTAAGTTGGAGGTGCAAATATGGAAGAGAGAAATGAAGACCAGGCTAATCAGCAGATTGGGAGCAGATGTGAACAGAGGGGTCTAGAAGGGAGCCTGGGAAAAGGACACCAACATAAGAGGGCATCAGAGAAATACCTAAGAACTCAAATACATCCAGAAAACACGACAAAATAGGAATTAAAACCAATAAAACTAGAAAACAAAGAGGAAAATGGATCAAAGTCAAACAGAAAACTCAAAAAGAAAACCTAAACAGAACCAAAACTGTGACAAAAGAGGGGTCTCTGTTAGGTTGTTTGGTCTGGACCAGAGTCCACTGAAGTGTAGTGAAACCATCACAAAGGGTCCGAAACAACAGTGGAAGTGAACTCTGCTTCATTTAAAATAGACCAAATGAGGCAGGACAGAATAGAGACTTAAACTTGACAAAAGTGGCAGAGTATGCAACAAAAAAAACCACATCCCACAGTCGAGGACCACTGTAGATGGTGGAGCAAATGCAAAACCTCCTATGAATACAAATGCTTTGAACCTGGCTGACCCAGCAGAGATTGTGATTGTGCAGGCATGAGTGTGTGTGTGTGCACACTCGGCTTTCTGCATGTGTGCATGCGAGTCAGTGTTCAGCGGCGGCGGCATCTACACTCCATCTCTTCGCTCCGGCAGCGTTCGCGTTGAACCACGGGGTCAAAAACGCACCGAAATCAGACATCGAGCTGTGGCGGGGGCCATTTGGAGCCGACACCAAGTCGTGCCTGAGCTGCCGTGGAGAAAATGAGCCGACATCACATCAGAGAGGGCCCCC